AATAGTTTAGTCGAATAAACTATACTCAGTTTTGAGATGGGAAACAGTGAAGCTCTTGATGAAGTTACTACCACTGATGTGACTGTTAATGACGATAGGACATTTCCTAATGAAGCAGATGAACCCCACGTGAAGCAGAAGCAAACAAGACGGAGACCAGTACGGAAGAAGATACATCCCGTAAAATTAAGAGACTTTGTTGAATTGTAATTTTGTGTTTGTAATTCTGTACATTTAATTAAGTTATTGTTAATTGTTATTGGTTTATTGTAAGTGGCTATTGTTCGGGACGAACAATACTAAGGAGGGGGCAGTGTTGTGTCAGCGAGGTCACGTGACTAGTGTCACGCCACCTCTCGAACCTTCGGGAATAGTCGGGAGATTACTAGATATAGGGTAGGCTGGTATATATATAAGAGGGTGACAACGTGACGAAACAATAATGTGTGTGTAGACAGTGAGTAATTGATCTGCAGTCACAGGGTATTGTTGAAGTTACCGTTTGTTCGTTATAGTGTTTGTTTTGGCGCGAATGTACAAATTAGGTGTATCTTAAAGTTGTATTCGGAAAGAATAAACCAGTTTTATTAAGTAGGGACTTGTGTCGCTAAAGTTTCGTCGGAACGAAGTTACGGAAAATTAATTAACAAACGGAGACGTAACAATATCTTTAGGCAGGTTTCTTACCAAGATTATACTTTTCATACAAAGATTAGTGCTAAAATATTTTAAATAATTAATACAAATTATGTTGAACAACAGAGTAGGTGGGATTACATAAAAATTCACAGGTCTCAGGATGGTGTAACGTATTGTTACGTCTCCGTTCGTTAGTTAATTTTCCGTAAATTCGTTCCGACGAAACCTTAGCGACACAAGTCCTTTCTTGAATAAAACTGGTTTATTCTTTCTGAATATAACTTTGCGATACACTTAATTTCAACAATCGCGCTATAACAAACGTCTCACGTGCTCGACTTCAACAATACTCAGTTCAATTACACACACTCTGACTGCAGTTCAATTACTCACACACTGTTCTGTCACAGACTACCCCAATCTAGTAGTCTCCAGACAATTCACAAAGGAACAGGATATTTCTAGAAACAGGTGGCGTGATACTAGTCACGTGACCTCACTGATGCAACAGTATTATTGGTGTAGTAAAAAATAAAATGAAATAACCTACTTATATTGAAAATGTAAATGATTCAAACAGTTTCAAGAATTAATATTATTGTTAAGCATTTAAAATCTAAATGTGTTTCTTTTAATTCCTCAACTTTGGCATTATAAAATTCAAAGTTTAAGATGATCCTTGGAGTTCTTTTAGAAATAAACATAATGTATTACCAGTGGAGCGACTATTTATATTATCAACGGTGTTTTAATTATAAAAAATTTGGAAAATAATGTTGAACGACAGAGTAGGTGGGGTCATACAACATAAAAATTCACAGGCCTCAGGATGGTGTAACCTACAAGTACAATACCACATTCAATGACTTTCACACGTTGGGGCGATTTTGATAAAATGTATAGCACAAAATACCAAAACCGCCAATTTACTAAAGTGTTAGTAATGATAAATGCGTACTAAGTACTAACAGATAGAATTGTTTGTTTGTTTTTGAATTTCGCGCAAAGCTACACGAGGGCTATCTGCGCTAGCCGTCCCTAATTTAGCAGTGTAAGACTAGAGGGAAGGCAGCTAGTCAATACCACCCACCGCCAACTCTTGGGCTACTCTTTTACCAACGAATAGTGGGATTGACCGTAAATTATAACGCCCCCCACGGCTGAAAGGGCGAGCATGTTTGGTGTGACGGGGATTCGAACCCGCAACTCTCAGATTGCGAGTCGAGTGCCTTAACCACCTGGCCATGCTGGGCCTAACAGATAGAGCATTCTCAATAAAAAAAATTTTCAGTCTTTTTCACTGACAGTTGACAGATAAAATGTGTTAACCTCCAACCAATAACTTATGTCATTTAGTAGTAAATCAAAAAATAATGAATTCTTTACATCGGTAATATATTTTGGGATGATAAAACACTGATTTATCAAACATTATAAGAATGCATGGTATTTTAGTGTATCACCTATTACCCTTATATGGGTTTTTATTTTTATAGGTTATTTTAAGGCTTAAACTTAAGGAAAACTCATCACACACACGAATTTTCAATTTGATTTATTAACATTTGTAGCACCTTCAGGAGATGTTAACATATTTAATTAGTATTTAGATTGCAAGGGTTTCATTTACAATTACATCTGATTCAATTAATAGATCTTTACAATAATAAAAACGTATTACACCTAAATATTTTAAAAGAATTAATTAATAATAGATAATTAATTGTGTTTTTACTTTAAGTTGTTTATCTTACATAGGTGTTTTTTATCATTAAGATGCTATTTATGATACATAATTTTATTCACAAAACATTACATCTTTGGTAACTTCAAAATCTTTGAACAATTAAACATTTTAAAAACCTCTGAAAAACATTCATTTACTACCTGTTTATCCATAACATGAAGCTGAATAAATACGTTTCTTAATTTCTTTTCAGTGTATAGTATGTAAAGTAGGAATTAATATTATCTATAACTACATGTATATACATATATTCATGTATTACTACATTTTTTCTGTTTTATTTAACATCCTGAAATATTCCAGAAAAAAGAAGTTTCACATTTCTCTTAATAATATATTACGAGGAATAGTTTAAAACCGAAAACCACATAAACAATTTGGAAGTATGTTTATTTTTATTTAAATTTGAAATGTGAAGATATTTTTTCCATGTTTAAAATAGCTTGGATAATTTCAACCATTAAAAAAGTGTATGAATAAATAATCTCCAGTTCTTTTCTTCACACTGATTTTAAAACACAAAATTTTTAAAGCACAAGTTATTTTATTGACACTATAGGAGCTATTACATAATATTATCTTTACTACTTTTGTGTTTTGGCACATTTCATTACATAAATATTTCAGTAACTTAATGTGCCATAATTTATGTTAATTTGCCTTTATTAGTACTTTAATGTTGCCTTATGAATGATAAAGATATTTTTCCATAACTTCAACAAATAACTTAAAACTTTATTCCTTATAACAAGAACTTTTATTGTTACACTTAATTTTCAAAAACTCTTATATTATTAACTAAGGTTTGTAGATCTAAGAATGTATTAAACAATTTTACATACATTAAGTATTAAACAATAACAAACAAATTGCTTGATGAAAGTTATGTTTTGGTTCATATTGTTCTCTATTATCTCCTCTATGTTGTACAAAGACAGTATTTTGAATAACTTACATTCATAAATCTAGATATACAAGACAGACTTTAGTTAAATCTAAAAATTTAAGGCTTGTAACAGTTTATATAAGGAGAAGTTGTTCATCTAAAATAAAATATAGAAAAATTTTATCAACACTAAAGATAAAAAGTTCTGAGAACAAAGAGAAAAGCAAGTGCTTTGAAAAATGTTACTTCTGTGTGTTCATTATACTTAAATGCAGGTTTTATACAATACATTTTGGCATATGAGTATTGTAACAAAGATCATAGGAATTAAAAGGTCTTGTTCTTTCAAAATAGATTGAAATAGGTAAGATATACAAGTTACTAACAATGGAAAGATATATATACTTATTTATCATAAAAGTATACAGGATCAGGGACATCAACTGGGGAGGGGATGCAATTAGAAGAAACTGACAATAAAGTACCAGTTGTACACTTTTGCTGCACATGATGGAAAGCTACAGTACAGTCCAATGCCAGATTACATGTTACTTCATTTTCCATTTACAAAAATCCAACAGTTTTTAGGTGTGCCTGGCAGCCCCTGGGCCTCCATAAGAATTTACACCTCCCACACGTTATGTTTCAAATAACATTGGTGTTCAAAAGAATACATGTTAATAATGTTCTTGATGTATTTTTAGTCACTGTTGAATACTGTATACCACACCTCAGCTAGCAAAAGCTGTAACACACTGATTCATGGAAACTGCTTCATGTGGTACACAAATACTACAGGCTGTAAAGGATATACGAGGCCTGTGAGAAAAGTATCCGACCTTATTTTTTTTGCGATAACCTGATGGATTTGAATCAAGCGCGCTTGCATAAGCCGATCTTGATCCTTCGTGCGCATGCGTGAATTTTTTCCCGCTTGTTGATTGCGTCAATTGTTGGCAAGCAGCCATTGAGTGAGGTAGTGTGTAGTGCTCTCGTCGGTTTTTCATTGCAAGGAAAATGACGGAATGACTGGAGCAGTGCTACTGCATCAAATTTTGCCAGAAACTGGGCGACAGCCAGGTGGAAACCAATCGAAAGATTCAGACGGCTTCCGGTGACGATGCTATGGGCATCACACAGATTAAGGAGTGGTACAACCGGTTTAAAGACGGCCGCACAACGATGGAGAGCGAGCCACGCTCCGGTCGGCCATCAACATGCCGAAATGACCAGGTCATTGCCAAAGTGAACGCTATGGTGATGCGGGACCGTCGTGTGACTATCAAAGAAATTGCGGAAGAGGTGGGCATCAGCACTTTTTCGGCACATTCCATTATGACCGAAGATTTGGCTATGAAGAGACTGGCAGCGAAATTCGTGCCGAAGCTGCTTACAGCAGAGCAAAAGGAACTTCATGTTGAAGTCTCACAGGACATGCTGGACTCCACAAACAGTGACCCCGACTTCATGAACACCATAATCACTGGTGACGAGTCTTGGGTGTATGGGTACGACCCGGAAACCAAATCCCAGTCGTCACAGTGGAAGCATTCCACGTCACCAAGACCAAAGAAGGTCC